AATAATATTTATAAATTACTTTTTAAATTTAATTAAAGCACTTGACATAATTTGACTCTAAATTAATTAGAACTCAATGTGGTTTCTAAATACCAAAGATTATAATACCAATAAAAAAATAAATACATAAAACAAGTTAATTAAACAAGTTGAATAAGCAAGTCAGGTAAACAAATTCGATGAACAATTTTAAATCCCTATACTCATTATTCAACTAGATACTTATATATCCTTTTCATGCCACTAATTACACAATTTTCTCACTGTTTGAATATAATATTTACACAAATAAAAAAAAATTTTAATTTGTGCCTTTAGACACAGTTATTGTAGTTTTTAATATTAATTAATATTAAAAATATAAAAGCTATTATTAATTTTATCATCAATGTCACATGAATTATTTAATTAGATAATTATTTAAATAAAATTTAATTTTTATTTTTAATACTAATTAATATAAAAATATAATAATTAATTATACTCTTAACCTTACTTTTCAAAAAAAAATCCTAAAAATATATTTACAGACAATATGTGTAGCTGTGCTTAATAGTTACCCAGCCCTAGGAGGGAAGAAAGTCTTCGGTGCAACTAGGACACCATGTCAGCTGTGTCCCAGTTCACTGATAATTTGACAACTTATCCTATGTCATGTCAAAACACGCAAGCAAAGCAAACGAAAAGTGAAATTAACAATGAATATTAGATGTTTTAACTCCTTTTATCAACTATTCTTCTACTTTTCCCTTGAAATTTCCAATTCTCTTCATAAGGTTAGGTAATTTATTTTCTTTAAATATTTCCATATATAATGAACTAAATCTCAAGATAAATCAAGAAATCATTTTTACTAATTAGGAGAATAACAGTATATGGAATTCTTCTGATTTTTTCATCACTTACGCGCAGTTGTTGTTTTACATTTTGTTTTTTTGGCTAATAATTAATAAAAGCTGCATTCATGAGACTACTCCAAGAAAAAGATCGACAAGTTCTTTTGATCAATAAATGTCTAGGAATTTTTGGCGGCCAGGTCTTATTAAATTCTCAAAAAAGAAGGATGACGAGGTAGGTGTTAATTAGAGAAATGACAGTAATTGAAATTCTTTGGCTGCCTCTTCAAGGTGGTGGCAAACCACCACTGTTGCTGGGCCGTTGGGACGCTGAAAAATTGTTTGACCTGCATCCAATTTCAGATTTGACCAAATGTTGGAGAAGGCTCTGTTCTTGAGTTCTCTAAACCATTTTTTACTGAACGAGCGAAGACCTAAAGATTTCAAAAGTAAATGATGTTAGACTTTTGCCTTTAACTTTGCTTGCATGTCTCGATACAAGTGAATTGTTAAATTATCAGTGGAGTGGGACATAACTGACATAATGTCCAAAGTTGCACCGAAGACTTTGAAGCTTTCGCCGTAGGGTTACACGCACTTTGAGGGAAGAAAGAAACCACACATATCAAAGTTAGACTCAACACCTCCCCTTTGTCAAACACGTGATGTATAAATCGTTTTTTTTTTTAAATATGAAAAGATTATTTTATTATTTATAATACATTAAATTATAAAATAAAAATTATTAAATAAAAAATATTATCAATATCAAAATTTTAATTTTTAATTAATAATAAATATTCTATAATTTAATATATTTTAAACTTCCACAATACTATATTTTTTTTTAAATATTGTGTGCTATATCTTTTCTTTATTTATTTTTCTACACTAGAAGTCGCTAAACAAGATGAACGTACCACACTTTGCTTTTTAAGTTAAGTAACATTTGAGCTACTTTGGAGGTATACTTTTCTTTCCTTACGATGGGTTTAAACCAATGAAGTTAATATCGTACCATATCGATCAATACGGTTGATACGTACCGGTTTGGCATTTGACCGAAATGGTATAACGTCAATTTTTATTTCGGTCAAATTTCGAACATTTCGATCAAAATTCGATGTATCGACCGAAATTTCGATGTACCGACCAATTCATCGAAATTTCGACCGGTACACACTGTAAATTAAAAAAAAAAAAGGATTCCCCTAGCCCAAAAGTTCGAATAACTCAATTCAAATTTAAAAAAGTAAATTTCATTTTTGATCCTCAACTTTAATGTCATATATAATTTTTATCCTTTAATTTTTTTAATGTACTTCTTTAGTTCATTTTTCTTTTTTTTTTTTTGTCTTTCTATCAATTATTTTGTTAAATTTATCTAAATATACACATTTTTAGT